TCCAATCCAAACCAATGGATAGCAGCAGCAAGTAAATGGATCGTAGCAGCGAGTAAATAAAACTTCTTTATTGAAAACAGTTTCTTAAAATCACTGATAACCCATCACCTCCCGATTGAGGCTCCTTTCCCTGTACTCAGATACAGTCCTTCCTGTTTGCTGCCGGCTGTAGCGTTACCCTATGGCTGTAAGTTTCGCAGCACACTTACTTTTAATTCAAAGTTTTACTTGCAGTGTCAAGGTAATGCTATGGGGACTAGGTTTGCCCCCAGTTACGCTAATTTATTTATTTCTGGCTGGGAAAATATGTTTATGATAGTCCAGAATGGGGGACAAACCTAGTCATTTACCTTTTCTAAGTTTGACAAAGCTTCAGTCCTGCAAGAAATAACAATGGACATCATTTCCTTAGAGAATCTCTCTAGTGCATTATTCCAGATGTCTACATTTTTCGAATTAGTATCATTTTCAAAGGTGGGAGTCTTAGAGAATCTGAAACCGCTGAGGGTAATCTTCTCTCTCAAATATCTTTCAAGAGTAGCGATTTCCCACTTATACTTTATCTCTCTTGCCAGAAGTTTTTCCATTTCTTTAAATGTAACCTCTATATCATTTTTTTAAAATCAATTCCATTGTTATATTGCAAAATTTACGCTTCATCAAACACACATTGCATATTACCTGGATATTCAAATAATGACATGGTTTTACAGCAGCCTTACTTGAATAGAGCTATCAAAAGTAAGTGTATACGCCAAAATCAAAATTGTCACGGCCCCCGGCTTCTGGCTGCACATGGTCGCACCCACACTGACAGGTTTAAGAGCTTACGTTCAGCAACAAGCTGGGAGCCGACCCGCTGGGGCGTCCATCTGTTTCACACGTGGGATCCAAAATATCGCCGGCCATATGGTTGTGGCCATTTGTAGCTCTGCCTCCAAAGGTCACGCAAACGTGCATGAGACATCACGACGCCCACGCACGGTCTGGGGTCAGAGGTCAAGCCTTGACCAATCACAGGGATACTTAAACCCCTGAATTTTCCTAGTTCATTGCCCTGTCATGGTTTCCATTCCTGGTTCCCGAGAGTGCGTTTTCTTGTCCTTGTTATTGATATTCCCGGTATTCTGACTTTGGCTATTCCTGACTATTGTGATCTCTGGTTTTCCTGACTTGGCTTTCTTATCGATCTTGTGTATTTCTGGCTTCCTTGACCTCGGCTTTCCCTTGGCCATTCTCTGTCTTTCAACGTATTAATCCGGCCATTCTAAGGACTGGTTTACGTTCTGTCTATTTTTCTATTCTATGTAGATGTTACATAGTTTTGCGTGTTGGATCACATTAGTAGTTGTGACAAAAACAAACAGAAAGGCACTAAACCTATGTGTAAAATAATTACAGTTTGTGCAAAAAATTGTAAACAGCAGCTCCCCTTAAAGTGCAATAGCTCACAAAACACATACAATAAGCAATCAATAAAAAAAGGTGCGCTGGGCACAGCCAGCGCCTGCACAAGCTGGATGCGATCTGAAACAGTTTTGCAAGTTGGCCCGGCTAAAAAGACATCTGAGCCAGCACAGACCCCACTACTGGGCTCAAATAGCCCAAGCCCGATTCCCGACACCATGGGGAAGAAAAACAAAAAGCTGTGCTCGGACCCGGGCTCAGGTTCCTGAGATATAGGCACATTCCTGTGCACGACCGTGCGGCCTGAACCCACCAAGATGACGCCTGCTGAGGCTTATACATCACTGTCCTCGGATGAGGACAGCATTACCGCTGACCTCTCCCCTCCACCGAGGCAGTGAACAGGGCCAAGGGCACTCACAGAGACGGAAGACTCGGCCCGCTCCACAAAGGCAGACATCAAGACCTTAATGAAGGAGATCCATGCAATGTTTAACGCGGACATGGCACCAGTCCGGGAAGCAGTGTCCACACTCACTACACGTTTACAAGCATTGGAAGACAGCATTGAAAGCTCCAAGTTGGCACAATCAGCTACAGATGCTGCCATAGGCCCAGATAGCCAATATGGAGGACAAGGCCAGGGCGCGCAACCTAAGGATACGGGGAGTGCCAGAAAACGATTTCAAGAGCAGAGCTCCCTAATATTGCCGGAGGCTCTTGGCCACTCTCCTCATGCCTAAACAGACCAAGCAACTTGTGGTGGACTCCTGCTTCCGACTCAACAAAGCGACCAATGCAGCCCAAGAGGTACCCAGGGAGGTCTTGCTTAAACTGGTGCGGCACTCTGACCACAGAGTAATCATGGGGGCAGTCAGGGACACCCCCACAGTTTCTTTTGAGGGGGCACAGCTGGCATTCTACCGGAGATCCCTCAAGCAGAGCACCCAGCTCCTCCAGGAGAATTTGATCCCTTATAAATGGGGCCCCCGACAACTAATCGCTGACAAAGCGGGCAAGACATACATAATATCACTCCTCAATGAAGCACCAGCCTTCCTGCAATCCTTTGGCCTGCCAGCATAGAAGTTACAGCCACTAGACTGCTCAGCCTGGACTGTAGCGGGCATCACCCCATTTGTACCCAGAGAGGGGGCACCCGCAGTAATTGAACTGCCAACCTGACGTTTGTGGCTGCAGAAATCCATGCCCTCACTTACACATAGTGTCCCATAAATGTGTACAGTTTTTCTATGTTTTGCTGTTGGTTGAGATTGTATTCAATACCTCAGTTGTTCTGGCTCCGTAAACTGAAGGCTTAGCTCTTAATTAGCATAGCCATGATTCCCCCCCCTCCACCACATAGAGCGCGCAAATGGTCTCCCTGTTACATTACAGCTACTCAATACATGCCACGACCTTCTGTTTAAGCACTAGCATACTAAAGATCAACTTCTTAGCTATGGAAGGCTCTCCAGCTGCATGTACATAATATAGGTGCCTTACTAGAAGTTTCATGGCACTATTCCACTTAGCCACAACAATGTCTATACCACAAATCCATCATATATAAACCACAACAGTAATATATAACATAATACAAACATAGTTAATAATAAACCTTGTGCATATAA